AACCTGGCTGCGAGTCGGCGCTGTGTCTTCTGTGGCGCGGGGCGTGGGCTATCCCGAGCCCTCGCGGTGGCCCTGTCGGTGTCGCACCCGGCCCACACCGGTCGCCCAGCGCCGTCTCGGTTCCCTCTTTCCGGGTCTCATTTGTGAGTGACTGAAATGAAACGTTGATTCCGTGTGAGGGCCGTCCACAGTTCCTGTGACCGTGTCCTTCACAGAGACCCACGGGGGAATCGGTGACTCTGGGCTCTGCCGTGACCCCGCGGGGAGTGCGTGAGAGCTTCAGCCTGGCTCCGAAAATCAGCTAGCTCTGCTGAGTCTGCACAATTCCATTTCTGGGACGGAACGCCTATGGTCATTCTTAAATTATTTCTTTAGAACCTTGTTATTTGAATTTCCATTCTTTCGGAACTTCTTTCCAGCCCTGTCAAATGGTGCAAGTTGATAAACTCCGTTCATCAGCTCGACGGACGTCAACTGCTCCCACTCCCCATCCGTGACCTGTGTCAAGGCAGCAGTTACAACGCAGATACTTGGTTGTAGCCATGTGCGGCCTGTGCACACGCGCATACGCTCCCACCCATGCAGAATTCACATCTTCTCTTAATGGCTTCTTTATAATTTACTGTAGTGGAGTGCGCTACTGCTGGAAAGCTACTTTTCATGTAGATGTTGGAAGTTATTTTGGAAAGCTATTTTTCATGTGGATGACAAGTATTACGTTCAGCCTGGCTCCTTTCCATCTCACTTGATACAGATTACTACTGTATAAAAGTAGATATTATTTTTGATAGTGCTTTTTTACACTGCAACGGTCAGGTTAGGGCAGGGTAGTGATTCTGACGCTCTCTTCTCGCTGAATGCAATATCTGGAGGTGAGCATGGTTGTGAGGTTGAGAAACACCTTGGGCCTGTGGTCTCTGTCACATGTGGATGCTTACTGGCTTCTCTCTTTTCTTCCAGGACCAGAAGAGAGGAGAGAGGCCGTCTTCCCGAGGTCACCACTGTCTGCCACCCCACCTGTCCCCACCGCAGACATCTTTGTAAAAATACATTAGCTGTCTAGTTCCTCATAGTGGATGTCATTTATATTTGATGTCATTACTGTTGACATAAAGTTGGCACCTCAATATTTTTACTAAACATTGTCTTTGAGTGATAAACTCCCCAGTGATAGTGACTGTTTTCATGTAAGCTATTTATCATCAGTTTCTTAGCTACCTAGAGTCTTAAATTAGAAAGTTTTACATTATTTTTCATAGTATTTCTAATTACATACTTATAATAATGGAACATATTAAGTACATACATTATAGAAGAAGTTTTTAAAAATAAGTATTTCAGGAAATAATATTTGACAGAATTTGGAAATTACAGAATTTTGAGGTATTATTTAATATTTCTTTCAGTGATTTTTCTCTTTAAAATTTGCAAGTTTTTTTTTTCTGTGTATGCATGAGAAAGTAAATTGGGGGGAAATTAATGTCAAATAAGTAAGCCTTCTATTTGTCATAATTTATTTCTTGAAATTAAAATTTTCTTGATGATTAAATGTTTTACATTTGCCATGTTGTGTGAGGAGTTTTTGAATTGAAACAGCCTTGGGTTATAAACCCCATGTGGTTGTGTGCTGAGCTTTTCAGTGAATAGAGGCTGTCAGGGATGGTAAAGACCTTTACATTACTGCTTTGAAGTTTCCTGCAGCCCCACACCAGGACCTCCCCATATCCTGCCCTTGACTCTGCACCTGGACTAATTTCAGTAACTAAATGGAAATCCCATGCATTTGTTCCATGTTTACCTGCTTCTCAATGATTTCTTGAGGTATTTAGTGGATTCTTTTTTCCCTCCTTAGAGACGCTATTATCTCTTTTAGCATCTGTAAAGTTTTGTGTACAGCCTGCAGTTTTTAACGGAAGCTTCATCTTTCTTTATGTCTCTTGCTAATAGCATTATATTTGCAGCTAGACCAGCATTTTTTTTGGGGGGGTACCAAGGATTGAACTCAGGACCTCATGCTTGCCAGGCAGGCACCATAGCATTTTTAAAAGAAAATTTCCATTTTTGGAGTAAAAACCACTAGAGTATGTTATTAAAATATTCATGTGTAGGGCCAGGAATTTAGCTCAGTGTCACAGTGCCAAGAAACAAGCAAACAAAAAAGATGAATAAATACTCATGTCTTTTAGAGTGAGTAGATGAGTTTAATAGTTTGACTAAGACAAATTTTGACAGTAACGCTATTCATTTTGCTTCAGGCTTTCCCTGTAGTACTTAATATTTCTATCTCTACAGTGGAAAGATTTCATTTAAAGATATTTTTATCCTCATGAATCTTGAAGGACCCAGACTCCAGTTAGAACCTTGACCAAAGGTGCTTTCTGTAGACTGATTTCAACCAAGATAGAATTAGTCCTGCAGGGTAGCAGGGGGAGTTTTTCAAAATCATGTTCTATTTTGTTGGCAATGCGATATTGTAGTTTCTCTGTCTTGCTCCTGTACCTGTTCTAAGGAAAGTGATACAGTAGCTCTCTGACTACAGTTTTAATTTCTAAGCAGTTCTTGATTCAGAAGTAAATGTCCCACCCTTTGGTGTATTACATTCTAGTCTTAGCAGCTCATTTGTGTCCCAGGTGTTCAGAGATATTGTGTTCTAATTCATTGTCTCCAAAAAGTCAAACTTTCTGCTGGGCATGGGTCAGTAGAAGAGAAAAGGGGACTGATAGTAATGTTTTATCTTGTTGGTTGTGGTCTTAATTTTAGCAGTTTCCTTAGTGATCTGAAGTTTTGATTTTCAAATGCATTGGAGTTGTTATTCTCCCCTGTTGATATCCTGGTAGGATGATACAAATAGCCGAGGAAAATAAAAGAAAGCAAGGCATTAGATGGTCTTCTGTGGCCACATATACTTTCCAGTAATCATGGGGAGCTCTAAGAACGTTTTTTTCAAACAGTCTGGTTTTGAGATGATTAAAATGGTTGGTGGAGAAAGACTGAGGAGAAACTTGGATGGAATTTGAACTGTTAAGTAAGTGGGATAGATTGAAGGAACAATTAGGAACTGATGCTAAAAAGTGCAATTTGAAACTGCTACGAAAGTGCTAGATAGAAAACTTTTTGGTGAGAAAGGAACATAACCTAAACTTACCTTAATAGAGTGGGAGAGATTCTCAGGCCTGGGTGTATCCAAGAAGGCTGTGGCTGCTCTACTTAGCATCACATCATAAGCTTCCATGTTGTTACTTTATTAATATCTTAATGTGTGCGTAATATAACATTAAATCAGTGTCTCTGATTTACTTAACCATCTTGATATTTTTTAATGACTAGTTCTTGGAAAATATGAAATATTAACTCTCAAAGTCAGGTCATGTTCTTGTCAACATTGTACCAACCAGATTTATTCATTTAATGTGAACTCTTAAGGTTTTTGCAACAGTGCTTCTTAAAGGTATGCCTTGAGCCAACAGCTGTCTAAAGATTCAGAATAGTAAAATATTGGGTATCGTTTACTCATTTAATATCCAAGTTATGACCTAAGACAAAGTGATTGAAATATGATATATGTTAACCTTGTGAAAAACCTTGAACTGCTAATGATTATATTAGGCTTTTTCATCTTTATGGAACCTAAAACAGTTCTTTGAAGCACTAATTAAAATTGTGATTAAAAATGAGATTGAAACAGATATAGGACTTGTCAGGTGTACAAATTAAATATACTGCTAATCTTGACTAATTTTTTTTTGATTATTTGTAGTTTTGTGGAGGAAGGTGTTGATATACAAAAATTGATGGTTTTTTTTCGGTACCAGGGATCGAACTTGGGACTTTGCACTTGGGAGGCAGGCAGCGGAACCGCTAGCTAAATCCCTGGTCCTCTTGTTTTTTTTTTTTTTTTTTTTTTTTA